GTATAGAGTTAAAAATGGAAGTATTAAAAATAACATGTGCTGAACCTAGTTGGCATTAAATTCGAACTACGTTCTGAATATGCATCTAAAACGTCACCTTACCTACTAGTACAACTTTGAAAGAATAGTTGGGCCCATGAACAAGTCATCAATGCACCTACTGCATTTCTAATGATCCACATGCTAGTCAAGGATACGTATACTAACTCCATTCAACAATGTAGAACAAATTATGTACAATTTAATGAGTTCATTGGTGTCACCCAAACTTAGTATAATTTCCATCAACTTGGAGTAATGTTGGACAAAAATGACATCTCTATATCTTCTTTCACCATTGAGTCAGTCAACGTTTATTTCACATGGAACTTTGGCTCTATCGGAAATGTTCCAAGGCAAAATGATGTTCAGGAAAAAGCCTTGACAACTCGTTTCTTAAATTTTCTAAGATAATTTTGAGATGATAGTTGAAACAATACAAATAGTTTTTATTTAAAACACCAGCGTGCCCTAAGGCCAAGGCATGGAAGCAGGCAGGCTTACTGCAAGGGAAAGTTGAAGTGTTCATGTTGGGCCTTGCAACGTGGGAGAGTAGCGAGTAGTCTTTATTCTGAGTAGTCGGGTGATGTGGCCGAGGGCTACATGTAAATAACCTTGTACTGGCATTTTGTGGAGGGTTCTTACCCTTTCCTTCTATAATATATGATACGCACACTCGTGCGTATTCGAGAAAAAAAAACTGTTAAGCTATTGTGTCAGGTGGCCTGCTCGTCATCCTTAGCCAGGAGAGGGTATCATGCCAGACTTGCCTCGAGAAAGTGCAGGAAACTAGCAAGTGGTGCATTGTCTCTAGTTCTTGGTCGCAAAGGATGTAGCGAGGGTGGTGTTGAAGGCCGCAGTGTTGCAATCTCTCGGCAATCCAACATCTGTCCAGGTTGGCTAGCCAATGAAAGAAATTCACTTTTGGAGGTGCCCATATCTATTTCCGTTTCATGTTGGAAATATTTGGTAGTTTGTAGTGAACATATGCCACCCTGAGACTGTGAGGTGGTGGCAGACGACATTGTCGAGGCTACCCTGCCACCGGAGGTGCCGGTTCCTGGGTGACTCCCTGTTGAAATATGGACGGCCAGGTCTGACGGGGTTCTAGCTCCTGCTCCCTCCGGTGGTGCTCCCAGTAGTGGCTAGTGGCATGAGCCTGAGTGTGGGGGTAGTACGACACTCACCTTGGCCATGACGGGATTTCCTCCTCACGCGGTCTAGTGGCTGCTAAGCAACCGTGGCGGTGGTGCTGCCCGACTCTGGCCCCTTCCGGTCAGCAGAGTGATGGGACCTGAGAGGTGGGGTGGGGTGGGGGGGGGGGTATCTGAGTCCCCTCCGGGTTGTGCCGTTCACGTCTTTTGGTGTCAGCGAAATGTTTGGAGTGGGATGCCGAGGCAACGGTCTCGGGTGGCGGTCTACTCGGTGGGCTCTCCGGTGGGTCTCCAGGTAGCAGTGCTGACGGTGCTTCTTGGTCGTGTAGAAGAGGAAGGAGTTGTGGTGCGTGGCCCTGACGCCTTTCCTATTGTGGTAGGGGAGGGACCCAGGAGCCGCAGTTGTCGCCGTTGAACTATTGCATAAATCTGAAACACCTGACACCAGATCTCGTCACATGAGAAGAAACTCTAACCTCACCGCCACAAGGAGATGACAGGAGTATGTGTCGGAGCTCCGTCAACTACTCCAGATAGATGAACTTGAAGAAGATCAAAGCCCAGAAGACAAACACGAAGAAGCATCGCCATCTGCCCGAACATCGCGCCTACGAGGACTAAAAAAACCCTAACTTAACTACTAGGTGGAGCGGGGGCAGCAGGATTTCCCTCCCCACCACCGGCCACCGGAGCGACAAGCAGAGAGGAGGCGAATCCACGGGCTCGCTGTTGAAGCCTGGAAGGCAGAGTTTGCCTTATACTCCTAGGGCTAGGGGAAGAAACAATAGGAAAAACACATACATGTCAATTGCTTCCCATACGTGGATGGCTCAGCTCACTATATTTTTCGAAGTTGACATGATAAGTTAATAGTAATCCCCTTTGTCCGTACTAAATTGTACTGTTAAATCCAAGGATTTACGTGACAGTTCACAACTAACTTCAGATACTGACCCTGCAACAAACGAACTCTGTAGCAGAAAAAGAAAAAGAAAAACAAGGTGGACTTTGGATATATACAACCGCTTTTTATTTTAACAGTTATAGTGTAGGTATCGGATATGGAAAAGTCAGAAGTAGGAAGAAGAATCCAATAATTAGGAGATGAATATAAGAATCAGAGCTGACTGAGAGTGATTACGTATAGTAAATTTAAATTTTGATTGTTGAAATATTCATGCACACATCGTCTGTTCACGCTACTGTTGGCGTAAGGGTATACGTAAGCACCGCTAAAACAGAATCTCGGGAATATGTGAGAACGGTATCTTTTCCGTCCATTTTCTTGTTTTTTCATATACACCGGAAGAGGTTCATGCAAACTCGGCATATTTCATATAAACATGACGAAATTCATTACATTTTGGACATACTTCAATTAAAAGTAGAGCTCATCTGATTCTGGAGGTATAATTTCAGACATACCTCTATTTTAAACCTAATCTAAATGATTGTCGGCGCCCGTTCCTCGTGTCTGGTCATGAGCCCCAAGAACTAAATCTCCGGCACTTGCCTTCGCCTTCTCCAGTTCCGAATCGGTGTGCTCCAACTCTGCCTCTGCAGCCTCCGCCACCGTAGTTTGAGCAACTAATCGGCTGTCGATTATCAGCCCGCCAAGCTTGGCTTCGGGTAGAGGGGAAGAGTGGTGGCCTTCCTGGGCCTCGAGCGGCGGTGAACTGCCATGCACTACTCTTCCATGTTGTCGGCGGCGCCTGGGGACGTGTCGGCTTCGTGGTCGTGGCGGCGTGGACAGCCTCGGCGGAGCCTGCAATGTCGTCCTCGTCGGTCTTGCCCCACACCTTGTCCGCCGCCTCCTCGAACTCGGCCCCTAGGTACCGCCAGCGGGCGAGGTGGATCTCGTAAGAGGAGCTATAGGATTCGAGTAGCGCCTCCTGCTCCGCCACGTCTGCGTCTGGCATGATTGCCTTGCTGGCGTCAAGCTCTCATCCATCTGCTAGT